CCTCTAGATTTAACTACTTTTGTCTGTGAACCAGCTCTGTTTACCTTGGCCACTTCTGATTTGATCACTTCTCACTCCCTTGTTGTTAGGATTTCCATATCCACATACTATGTGTTTGTTTCCCTTTTATTTGGATCCCTCAGGACCCCGGTGCTGATGCACACTTGGCACTTTTGGGCACTACCTCTTGAGCATTTGCTCTGGGTGCTGTCAGCATAGTTTATGACAGCTTCTCACTCAATCTGGCAGCCCCCTCTGAGCCACAGTTGCCTGCTCATCAGAGCCAAATGTTCAGTGTCTTTGTTCCAATGAGTGCTCTGCTGTCAGCCTTTCTTCATGCAGGATTGTGGGCACTCACTTGTTGGCCTGCCCAGGAACACGATGATCTGCACTTTTGGAGCAATTATTTAATTTGGGACAATTACTTGTAGGTGTTTTTCAAAGTGAAGATTTTGCCAGGCTGTGACAGTTTTGAAACAGCAGCTTCCCCATCGGTTAAGGAGTCATGTCATGAGCTCCATCTGTTGTCCCTGGAGGATGGTGGTGACCCTTTCTTACCACAGCATGCTAGGTTTGTACAGCCTCACATCCTGCAGGAGTCAGCTGCTCTTTGTCAGTGTTTTTTGATGTGGGGTAGAAGTCACCTATTATCTTTCTACTCTCTGCTTTCAAAATTCACTTCAAATGGAAGAAATCACTTTAACCCATTAGGAATTAAAGGGCATGTTAAATAACCCCAAATAAAGGATTTATTCATTTCTTTAATGGGCCATTTTCTCTAACTTGGTGGTTAAGAGAATGACTTCTAGAATTGTCTGCCTTAGTTTAAAATCCACTTAGTAGCTGTGTGTCCTTGGGGAATTTACGTTCACTATGTCTCAATTTGGATGGAATGAAAGTGGAATTTAGGATTGTGGGATTTAATAAGGACATGTTTTCATTGTGATTAACTCAGCTCTTGGTACATGGAAATATTCAGTGGATGTTGGCTCTTATTTATTATCTTCTGCTTGGAGTTAGACCTTGTACCATAAATAATAAGTACCCATAACAATATATTTACGTGTTATTTTTAGTCTTAATAGTTCTCCAAATGTTTTGCTCTTTGAGTCCAATTAGGAACATTTGTTTACCCCTCTGTACTCAACAAAACTGCTACAGATTACATGTTCCTGAAAAGGGGAGGCATCTTGAAAATGTATGACATCTTATTCTTTTTAAAATGTATTTCAGAGGCACCTGGGTGGCACAGTTGGTTAAGTGTCTGACTCTTGGTTTGGCTCAAGTCATGGTCTTAGGGTCATGGGAAAGAGCCCCAAGTCAGGCTCCACATTCAGTGTAGAGTCTGATTAAGATTCTCTCCCTCCCCATCTGCCATTCTCTCTCTCTCAAATAAGTAAATCTTTAAAAAAATATATTTCAACAAATATATTTCAGTTCAATTAGTCAAAGGTTGGATCGTGTAGGAGTGGATGGATAATAAAGTAACAACAGATTTAGTTCATAGAAGCTTGGAAGAGTGAAGAGTTGTTCCCTAATAATTCAGTTCATGTTGGCTAAGAGGTTTTAAGATTGACATTGCCATCTTAAAACCAATCTGTGTGTGGTACTGCACTTTTAAACTGGCCAAATGTTGGCCTGTGGAAGGTTTCCATAATTTAAGGATACCTCTAATTATATTTCCAAATGAGAATAAGTCTCATTTAAAAGAAAATATCCAACTAAAGTTGCCTTCTTTATTCTCCTCTTAAGAAATCAAGATATATTTACTAGTGAAATAAGGAACTTGATAGAATACCAAGTTTTTCCTGATTTCCAACAACTTAAGAGGTTTGAAAGTATCTTGTCTGCATAGTCAGGCCACACTATTCTATTTTAGTTTAAGGTTTGTGAAGTCTTCTTTATTTTTATAGGGAATGTCCAGAGCTTCAATTACCAGATGCACTAATATCTTGTTGCCATGTACCAGTTGAAAGAGGTTACATATATAAATTGTTTCTGGTAACTGAAAGGTCTTGCTTTAGCTTTCCAAACTAAAAATTATCTCCTTTTTATTTAAAACACATGCTATGCTTCCTTTCTTAAGCAGAATATTTTGAACACGATGTAAACACTCATTAACATTGCTGGATTATCATTATGAAGTAACAAACTATAGAAGGATTATTGGCTCCACTAAATGGGCCCAGACAACTATATGTTTTATAGTTTTTAGGAAAGTATAGCTTCTATTTCTGTCAGATTTAATATTTTAATTCTGACAACTGTCTCTGTAGGCTATTTGTCTCTAATCCTATCTACCACACACTTTTTCTTTCAGTTTACTACTTCTGATACCTATAAACTATAAAATCATATCCCCAAACTAATTCAAAGTGCACATAAAATAAAAATTTGAATACATTTTTGTGGTGTTGGTGCTATTTTGGTGATTTAATTTTTTAAATTTTAATTTAAAATTTTAATTTCTTTTTAATTTCTAAGTTCTTCATGTTTCTCGTAGCTCACTTGACTTTGAGATCATTGAAGAAGAGCTTCTTACTATAATTTGATGATGATTCTATAACTGGCCTCATTGGGTCCGTAAGGAAAAGAATAAATGTCATAAATTTTTGTCCTCAAATAAACTTAGCTATGTATGTTATACCAGCACTGAGTGGTATAAATGGTATAATTTTTAAGGAAAATGACCTTAAACCAGACATTAGGAGTCTTGGGGGATCCTAGCCTTCAACTAAATACATATATAACCTTAGGCTAGTCAAGTTCACATTCCGAAAAATGGGAATCACAATAGAGGTTGTTATGAGAATCAGTGAAATTTCACTCTCCCTGTGAAAGCAAGGAGATTGAGAATATAGCAGAGTTGGTTGAACATGGAGTGGAATTTCCAAAGCATACCCTGAAGGGACTTAGGAGGGAAGGAGTGGGAATCTTACTTAGAAGAAAGGACCAGAGCATTATAAGGATTAGAGAACTGGAGACAAAAGGGGTTCACATTTTGAGCAGTGACTAGAAAAACGAGATCCAGAGACATTGTGGACTTGGGCCTAATGCCAGGTTGATAAGCACTCTGGTTGTAACAGTTCACCATGACCAAGCAGCTGTGATGTGGGGAGGGGAGTGGAATAGGGCAACAGGTTTGGACTGCAGGTTTTGGCAGCAGTGGGCAGCAACTAGTAAATGAGGGCCCAAATTTAGATTAGGAAAGTGAATTTGGGGGACACCTTAATTGTAACCCAAGCTTCTTCATCTACAATAGTCTTCTTTTCTCTAAGTGGTAAATTATGATCAAAACAAGTCCAGACTCATTGCTTGGTGTGCTAATGAACTGTGCTGATTCGGTTTTGTCTCCTGGCTTGGTTATATGTCATGCTGCTTTGGTTTCTTAAAGAGTTAGCTGAGTAAACCGAAAACCTCCAACCAAATATTTTATGTTTATTCATCCCTTCTACAATTAAATCATACTTTAGGTAGTTGACTATGAAAATATCAGCAAGTTTTTTTTTTTAAGATTGTATTTATCTATTAGAGAGAACAGGCTAGAGAAGCAGCAGGGGGAGAGGGAGAACCAGATTCCCCAATGAGCAGGGAAGCCCCAATGCAGAGCTCAATCTCAGGATCCTGGGATCATAACCTGAGCCAAAGGCACATGATTAACCAACTAAGCCACCCAGGCACCATGAAAGATTGGCAAATTATAACAGGAATTTACTCTGAGTACCTAGTCTTAATCCTCATTTCTGATTTTAGAGACAGGAAAGGGATGGTATATTAGAAGTGCTTTGCATAATAACATCTGGTACAACTCTGTATCCAAAAGGCAGATAGACTTTGTGACCAAGATGAACAGGGCACATAGACAGACCCTGGACGTATGGGAGATGTCAACACATGCTTGAAAGATCTTTCTTCTCCTACACGATGACTTACATGGCAAGGAAGCAGCATATTTCATGGCAGCTTTGTTTCTGACTCCGTCATCTTGAGCATTTAAGATTTCCTATATTTTGAACTTAACATCTCAACTGCTCTTTGGAGTCACTGGGCTGAACTCAGAGCTCAAAATTCAACTCCCAATATGACTTCTTAACAAGCTGTTTATTCCTAAAGAGATACTACTTTGGTTTTCAGAGAAAAAAAAGGAAAAGAAAAGGCAGTCTAGCAGATAGCCCCTTATTACACACCTCTAGTTGTACAAATACTACTTGAAAGCACAATAAGAACACATAGTAGAAATAGTGTGAAATAGTAGAAATACTATAGTAGAAATCCAGTGTGATGCTTATAACCTCCCTCATATAATCTGTCCCAATTATCAGCAACACTGTATTGTTTTGTCTATTGCTGGCCACTTAACCAAAATATACATACTGGGATTAGGAATTTCAGTTAATAATTTTAGACTTCTGCATCACGGGATCCCTGGGTGGCGCAGCGGTTTGGCGCCTGCCTTTGGCCCAGGGCGCGATCCTGGAGAACCGAGATCGAATCCCACGTCGGGCTCCCGGTGCATGGAGCCTGCTTCTCCCTCTGCCTGTGTCTCTGCCTCTCTCTCTCTCTCTCTCTCTCTCTCTCTCTTTGTGTGTGTGTGTGTGTGTGTGTGACTATCATAAATAAATAAAAATTAAAAAAAAAAAAGACTTCTGCATCACTCGTATGTTGATCAAAGAACTTCACTTTCACAAGCCTTAGACCCATGAAGATAATCCAGAAATTGAAGGAAAAATAGTTTATTGAATAATTTATTGGAGAATTAAGGGAAAATAATTTATTGTAAGAACAGCAATTTTATGTGAACATTAGTTAGGTAACACCAAAAATTTGCAGGAAGCCTCGTAGAGAAGGAAGATGCCTTTCAAAAAAAATCTCATGGTTTAATTATTACTCTATGTGAAGATGAAAGCAACCATGGATTTTATTAGAGATGTATGGGAAAATACTTAGTAAAATAGTAATTATATATGGCTGTATTGACTTGGAGTCTTTTTCTATTTCAGGGTTTGAATATAATCTTTCATGTAGCCTTGGCTCTCCTAAAGGTAAGTCTGTTTTTATCTTTAAATTGAGCATAATTCAAATTTATAGGCTTTGACACATTATAGATTATTGAACACAAAAAAAGACTTCCGTAAGGAACTCTGATTCTCTCCTCCCATCCTTTGTTGTTGTTGTTAATTTGATTTTGTTTCTTTACTTTTCTTATAATCTACTTAATTTTGCTGTCCTAGCACTCTTTCCAGTAGCATATAAAGTTGTTTTCATTCATACAAGTTGGATGATATGAAAGTTAAAACCTGTTTTCTGTCAAAATGATGCCAGCCTTTTTCTTAAAATACTTCTTACCATAATAACATCCGTGGAGATACCTAAACATAGAATTGAATTATTAGAAAGTTTTTATAGTATACTAAGAAAAGAAACTGCTGCGTTTCAATTTGCACTTCTTTCTCTGAGAGCTAGAAATTTATAAGACACTTTAGAATTCAATTATAATTACCTTGTTGAATTTTATGTCAACATATCAAAGGAGCTTTAATAGTGTGGTAATAGCAAGACATTTGCTGCAGAGTTGGTGAAAGCAATTCAGTCAATCAGTTTTTGTCCTCCAGTCAAAGATGACATTCTGTTGCAGAAGGCGATAATTGCCTTATTTATTCAAAAACCATGCCGGCCCACCCTTTCCCAGTAAAACATAATTGTTAAAATTGCAGACTCTGGACTCAGATTTGGTTCTAATTTCAGCTCTAGTATATGACCTTGGGCAAATTACTCTTAAGTGCTCAGACCCTGAGTTTTAAGATAATAATAGAAACTAATTTATGGGGGGCGCCTGGGTGGTTCAGTGGCTGAGCATCTGTCTTCTGCTCAGAGCATGATCCTGGGGTCCTGGGATGGAGTCCTATATCAAGCACCCAGCAGGGAGCCTGCTTCTCCCTTTGCCTAGGTCTCTGCCTCTCTTTCTGTGTCTCTCATGAATAGATAAATAAAATCTTAAAAAAAAAAAAAGTAACTAATTTATGGGATTGTTGTAATAATTCAATATGATGATACATAATTTTATACTCCATGTGTCTAGAAAATTTTATTGCCTAATTAATGTTAGCTGTCATTATTGTGATTACTGTTATATTCACAAGGAAACTTAGAATTTGTTTCTAGATTCCCCATCATTTTCCCAAATTTCACAAAAGATAACGACTTGGTGTCTTCAGAGAGCCACTTGGTATTTTAGGAGAGCTTCCATAACTTACAGACCTTGACAAAGATATGACATAATATGGGCCCTATGTATTATTTTTTGTGAAGTTTTTAAATTGTACTTTAAATTGTTCATTAAATCATTTTGAGTTTAGATATAAACAATTCTTTTTTTTAATAAATTTATTTTTTATTGGTGTTCAATATGTCAACATACAGAATAACACCCAGTACAACAAACAATCCAATCATGAAATAGATATAAACAATTCTTATACCAAAGTTATTTTGGAAGTTGGGAAGATACTTAAAGTATTTTCAGTAAAAAAGATTCTATCTGTGTAGGGCTGGGATAAGACTTTTAGAATGCCTAAGCAGTCAAAATATTATATAATTCAGACTAAAAAAAATACTTAAGCATAAAGAGAGTGTAAGAAGGAAGTCCAACAAAGATGATTTTTCCTATCATGTCTAATTTATTTTTGAGATTCAGATATTACATCTTTCCCAAAACTTTTTTTTTTGATGATTTTTTCTTTACTGGTGCTGTCAGCACACACTTAATCTGTCTTTGGGGGGTAACCCAGGATTTCCTGTCCCTGTCAGCCTGCCTAATACTGTATCTGTCTGGTAAATTATCTTCCTGATGGACAGATATTTTTTTGTTTGATTACATTATTTTCATTTATTTTTGTTCATGTTAATTCAGATATGGCCTGTGCAGAGGACATTCTCTGGCCCCTGGACAGAAATACTTTTGAATTCTCCAGAAATACATGGATGCTCATCTAGTACCTTGTAGAATTTGCCTAGAGAAGATTAAAAAGGAGAGGTTTCTCACTACTATTGGCTTATATTTATACCCCTTCCTCGTATGAATCCCAGAGCTTACCCCACTAGAGACAGTATATATAAGCTGAACTGAAGTATACCAAATTGATCTGATTGCCCCCACCCAGGGAAAGAACATCCCAAACGTACATGACAGTGACTAGCATTTAGCTTCTAATCTAATAAGCCATATAAAAGAATGTATATTTGTTTACATAAAAATAACAAACTTAACGATAGTTCAAAGTGCTTATGAACCCAGCATGAGTTAACCAGTAACACACATTAAATGTCCAGGTGTTATTTGTAAGAGAATTGTGAATTTTGTTAATCAGAGAAAACTATTCATTTTTCTCCTGTAGTTGATAATTGAGGGAGCCAAGGCCCCAGATTGCCTAGTCTTTTGGCTAAATGATTGCAAAGCTGGATTTATGATATTTTTTAAGCAGTATAAATGTAGGTTAAGGTCTCTGTTACTCAGTATGATTTAAAGACACCTACTTTCTGAATGGGAGCTACTTTCTTTTGAGTTAGAAATAGTCTACCAAGTAACTAGAAAGCTATTGAGCTAAAGGAATGCTTCATTATCATAGGTAGCATCATCAAATCATTTAGGATATTGGCAGTGTCCATTCATTTCCCCCAAATCTGATTCATTTATTATATGAAACAGCATATAATACATTATAGTCACAGCATACAATACATTATAGATTAGAAATGATCAGTCAGGGACACATGGGTGGCTCAGTGATTGAGCATCTGCCTTTGGCTCAGGGCATGATCCCACATCAGGCTCCCTCTGGAGAGCCTGTTTCTCCCTCTGCCATGTTTCTGCCTCTCTCTGTGTGCCTCTCATGAATAAATAAATCTTTAAAAAAGAAAGAAATGATCAGTCAAAATAAATCTTAGCCATTATTTTGCCAGAGAATTTTTTATCAGAATGGGTTCTTTGCATTCAGACAGTGGTTAAAAGTAAATGATGGGTGGGGGCACCTGGGTGGCTCAGTCAGTTAAGTGTCTGTTTTTGGCTCAGGTCATGATCTCAGGGTCCTGGGATCAAGCGATCAAGCACACTTTGGGCTCCCCACGCAGCAGGAAGTCTGCTTGTCCCTCTCTCTCTGCCTCTGCTTGTGCTCTCTCTGTCACTCTCTCAAATAAAGTCTAAATGAATGAATGAATGAATGAATGAATGAATGAATAAATAAATAAATAAATAAATAATAAATAAATGACAGGGGGTACCTGGCTGGCTCAGGTGGAGGATGCAACTCTTGATCTCAGAGTTGTAAGTTCAAGCCCCATGTTGGGAGTAGAGATTACATTAAAAAAAAAAAAAAAACTTAAAAAAAATGACAATGTTTTTCTCCCCCCTTCTCCAAGCTCATCTAGTGTCTTATATATGCATATAAATATTACAGAGATAAAGAAAGTCCACTCACAATTCCATCCCTAGAGATAACCATAATAAAAATTTGGCATAAAAATCTTCCTCCCATGCTTCAATGTATGAATATGTAAGTGAGCATTGCCTATTTCCATTCATACACATGTATATGTATATATAGTTTTTAATATGGGTTTGTGGATTATAGTTAAGATGGGAGGTAGGAGATAAATCCAGAAGAACAGTGTACAAGGATGAACATCTATGTGTTTTCTTTCGAAAATTCCTGGTGACTCTTTTTCATTTAATAATATATTAAGTATATTATTTAAAATAAATATTTCATTAATAATATATTATGACATGCCTGTGTCACTACAGACATGTAGTGGTTAAGAGCATGGATGCTAGAGCCAGACTACTTGAGTTCAAATCCCATCTCCCACAATTTATCCAGCAATCTTCAATAAATTACATTTTCTCTATCTTTAAAAGAGTGATATTAGTAACACTTATCTCATTGGATTGTTAGGATTTAATGAGTTAATATATGATTGGTGCCTGGAAATGTGTATATATGAAAACATACTCAGGAACTATTATTACACATAGAGCTGCCTTAGTTTTTTTAATGACTGATTGGTATCTTATTATGTATACCATAATTTTACTTAACCAGGGCGGCCCCGGGTGGCTCAGCGGTTTGGCACCGCCTTTGGCCCAGGGCATGATCCGGAGACCCGGATGGAGTCCTAGGTCGGGTTCCCTGCATGAAGCCTGCTTCTCCCTCTGCCTGTCTCTGCCCCCCCCCCCCCTCTCTCTCTCTCTCTCTCTGTCTCTCTCTCATAAATAAATAAAATCTTAAAAAAACATTTTTTTTTACTTAACCAGTTTTATACTTAGTTTTAATGGACACTTATTTCCAGATTTTTCCTGTTAAACATCCTTAAATTTCCATCTTTGCATACTTATTTAATAATGTCTTTTGGATTAACCCTGAGGAATGTAATTGCTGGGTCAGATTATAATCATATTTAAATTTTTTATGCATATTGCAAAATTGCTTTCTACTAGCAATATGAGAGTACATTTCTCCATACTCTTGAAAAAGCAGAATTTCTAAATATGTGCTTTTATGAACAATGAAAGCAAGTTGTAAAACAAAGCAGCTTAAAAAAGTAAATTAATATACTAATTTGTTTCATTATAAACAAACATAAATCTTCAGACACTTTTGAAAAATTCAGTGTTCTTTCATTTGGGAACATTTAGGTTTTTGGTTGTTGTTGTTGTTTTTTCCCTAGGGAAGCCAGCTGATCATGGCTAAATTTTAGAAAAATGAGCCCTAGCTTGGATGGGCTTTTTATATTATGTAAAAGTTCTAAAGCATATCTTTGATGTTTTTGGCTTTTCAGCCTCTCTACTGTGGTCTTTTTCCTTATCATTCTCTGGAGCTTGCTTTCTTTCTTTCTTTCTTTCTTTCTTTCTTTCTTTCTTTCTTTCTTTTTCTTCTTTCCTTTTCTTTCATTTTCCTTCCTTCCTTCCTTTCTCTTTCTCTCTTTTTCTCTTCTCTTCTCTTCTCTTCTCTTCTCTTCTCTTCTCTTCTCTTCCTTCCTTTCCTTT